AAAATCCCAGGGAATCCAAAAATGTATTCTGACAACCAATCACTGAGTTCCCAAATTTATGAATCCATATTCCCTGAGTTTGCCAAATCTGCGAATCCAGTTTCAATGAGGAAGTCTGTTTCAAAGAATAAGGTGGACAACAATCAAGAAATAGATGCCAAATGTTGACCTCTGATCTCCTTATACAAACATACACATGCTTACAGGAAACATGTAGATCACACTTTTTATACAGACACACACACACACACACACACACACACACACACACATGCACACAACCCTCACTATGTCAGGCAACAAATAAAATCTGAACTTCATTTATTTTGATATGCAAACAATGAACAAACAGAAATCAAAATTTACAAAACAATAACTAGAGAAAAGGGCAAAATATTTATCTGTAAATTTAACTAGATATATAGGATCTCTATGTTCAAATTTAATCTAACAACAGAGATTTGCAGAAAAACTCATGATCCTTAAATCTCAGAATAAACTTGAAGGGATGCCACAAACCAAAATGTGGCAAACCTGGCACTGGCAGGCCTTGAACTTCTCCCACATTTCCTTTGCTTAGCTAAAAGCCTTAAGATTATATCCCTAAAGCTAGCCCCCAAAGTCTATTCCCTTATTTGACCACTTCCTCCTCCTGTGGCTTACTGCCAAGGTCTAACTCTCAAAATATTGAAAACCAGCAATCAAAAGCCCCTCCTGGCTCACCCTATTTGCCTTCCCAATCTAAATTAAATACCTCATCCTAAATGGGGCTTCCCTTTACCTTTATAAAATCCATTTGCCCATGGGCCATGTCTGTCTCCTCTTTATCCAGAGGCCATATTTTGTCATCATCATTCTCCCCCAATAAATGCCCCTGGCCCCTCTCCATTGCCACTCTTCCCCCTCTCCCTGTTTCCTTGCCCTTCTCCCTAGTCTTCTATCTCCGGTCTTTGTCTCTTATTCCCTGACCATTGTCTCTTCAGAGCAAATAAATCTTTGTGCTGAGAATGTGGATTTGGGTTATCCTACAATACTAACACATAATTCTTACTGAGCACTCAGTCTCTGTGAAGGTCATTCAGGTCCTCTTTCTATAGTTAGCAATTTCTAAAGCAGTGGACAGCAGTAACAAAGGTGTGCTCCCCACATTGGGCAAGGTGCCAGTGGACACTAAAACATGTATAGTGGCATATATCAGCCATTTATCCCAATAGAAAGGAAAGAAATGTGACCACAAATTCTTAGGGTCAAACACTCACTTACCATTCACATACATTCCCCAGGGCTTCACTCATAGAGGAAAGCACAGAAGAGAGGAGAGCCTAACAGAAATGACAAACACTGTCACATTTTATTACAGAGATCATCCCAGTTTAGGTCAGAAACAGTCTCTCATAGACAACCAGATATGTCTAAGCTGGAGGGGTTATTTATTATGAACTCTTGGCCAGCCTGTCACCGGTGGCACATACATTTAATCACAGCACTCAGGAGGCAGAAGAAGGTGGATCTCTGTGAGTTTGAGGCCAGCCTGGTCTATAAGAGCTAGTTCCATGACAGGCTCTAAAACTACAGAGAAACCCCATTTCAAAAACAAACAAACAAACAAACAAACAAAACAAACAAAAACAAAAACAAAACAAAAAAGACCTTTTGGCTAAACTCCAATGATATTTGGGAAGTTGGTACTGAATGGATGCTTTAGTAGTTAAGAGCACTGGCTGTTCTTCCAAAAGTCCTACATTTGATTCCCAGCATCTATGTAGTGGCTTACAATTATCCCTAAGTGTAGTTCCAGGGAATCTGATGTCTTCTTCTGATATCCCATGGGCACCTGACATGTACATGGTGCACAAACACACATACATCCATGCAAGCAGAAAAACCACTTTACACATAAAATTAATTAATTTTAAAAGAATTGAGAAGTAGCTAACAGTTTAACCATGAAAAAAGACAATAAAGAAGTATTCATAGAAAATCAGAGGCTCTTTTTTCTCTTTTTTGATTTTGGAAGGAGCTCTTTTATCACCAACACAAGATGTTATCATATGTACTTTGTAAGTTTTAACCACATTTCATCACCAGAAAAGCAGTGAAGAAAAAGAAACAAAAAGAGAGGTGTGCAAAAGAGGGAACAGAAGATAGGAAGTATGAAAACTTACCAACTCTATCCAAACATATTTTTAATGATTTGTCTCCTACTCAACAACATTACCTCAATCAAAGTCCAACTAGATACATTAAATTCAGATATCAAACTCCATCATCTGGTGGCTATCACTTTCATCACTAACTGTGAATGTTCAATTGGTGGTGCATATTCCCCTAATACAGAAGAAGATCCATCCTTCTGGATCCTGTCAATTTTGTTGTTGTTCACCATAGCACCATTGGAGCCTAAACAGGTGGTGTGGGAGGTCCTTCTGTCTATGTGTCTTTATTGGTTAGTGAAAAAATTGAAGAACCTATAGCAAGGCAGAAATTAGGTAGGCAGGGAAAGCTAGGCTGAATGCTGAGAAAAAGAAGGATAGAGTCAGAGAGAAGCCATGGAGCCATCAGAGTCAGACATGACAAAACTGGTAAGCCACTGACATGTGTCAATATACAGATTAATGAAAATGGGTTTAATTAAGATGGCAGATGCCACGCCCACGATGACAACACCTGTGTGACAGAATGTTTCAGTAGTGGAGGTCGATGTCGGGTGAGGGGTCTGAGCTTCCTGGAGCTGTGCCCCCGGCGGTCCCCTGGCAGTCGGCTACAGTCGTGAGCTTGACCAGCCGCAGCCTTTGCAATCTTTTCAATCACAACGTTCCTGGCCATGCTGGCGCTGTTGACGCCTGTTTCTTTTCCTTTCTCTTCTATCTATCTTGACAATCATAAGCTTATCGTGCCAAGGAGGTTATGGACTTTCTCAACAGGAAAATGTCCCCAATGGTTCCCTGAGTTCAAAGGAACTCATGCGTTATCTCCACCGTTAATTCAGGCCATAAATCAGGTGATGCAGGATCAGCCAAAAAGTTTAGGGGAATTTATGGATACTTTAGAACAAAAAGAGTTAATGCTGGAGGTTCAGGATACAGACCCTGACAAAGTGAACATAAAGATGCTAAAGAAAGAAAATATTAGATAACATGAAACCAGCTTTACAATAGTGGTCCAAGTGTTGGGGCACCGACCCCAAGGAAGCTTATTGGAATTATTTAAAGAGTAAATGAGACCTTGACCCCTGAGAATGTTTGCAGTAGTTTTATGGTATGAGACAGTTTTTAAAGAAGATTGCTATGTCCTTAGCTGCAACCGTAAGAAAATTCTAAGTATAGAAATAGCCTGTGTATATGTGATCTTTTTCTATCGCTGAAAGGGAAGTGTGCCAACTTCCTTATTTGATTGCATTTAGTTTCTGTTCTGTAATAATATAAATACTATGCTTTGATTTGAGTAAAGTGCAGCAGATTCTAACCTCAACCTGAGTTGTGTCTGTCTATCATTCGCCGAATCCTAGATTCTCCTTAGCCTTCACCCTTGTTCTCCCTCAGTTCTCAAGCTCCACGAGAGACGGTCTGTGGCACACTAACTGGTGCTTAGCTCCACCCTCTGATGCCAAGCAAACTTTATTTGTCAGACTACAAATAAAACCAATCTCACTACACTGAGGCCAGCTTGGGAGTCACAATTCCACTACATTGGAGACAGCAACCTATCTGTTCATGGTTGTAGTCAGAAATGGCTAACTTAAGCATGGAACATAAGAAACTATTAGAGATTAATCTGTCAATGAGGTTTTTATAGCTATTCACTTAGTGATAGGCAGCTTAATGAGGTGCTTTATAACACAGTTTGGGAGTCAAAAGTGCTTTCATCAAGATCCCTTAGATGTTATAACTTGATGGCTGATAAAGTCTTCCTCTGTCTTCATTTCTATGAATTCACAGGACAATGTATGTTATGACATTAAGATATGTGATCCATTAAAAGACAACAGTATCGAACTGGGACACCTGTATGAAAAAAGGCCCAACCAATCAACTGCACTGAGCCTAAGAACCAGGTGCTGGGTGTCAGGAGCTTGAAAGATATAATGTTCCCTCACTACCTGGAACTCTAAGAGAATATACAATTCCGTTGTTAGTCTGTAATTTTCAGAAATGAGACTATAAAAGTTATATCCTTCCTCCTCACCTATGTATTTCCAAGCCACACACAAACTGAAAATTATTCCATATCTCACAGAAACGTTTTTGGGTGCTTTGTTTCTTTCTTTCTTTGCTTCCTTTTCAGTTGTGTCTGGTTCTTTCATGGATCCCCAGGGAATCCACCCTTTGCTCTGGTTCCTGTGGGACCCTCACCCCTTATTCTCAAAGGGGCAAGAAGAAACTGCCTAGCAGAATGTTTTCCCAGGAAGATAGTGGCCTTCCCCTCTTCCACCCAGGAGATTCCAAGCAAAGGTCACTTAGCTCAGCCCAGCCAACCACTTGGTACAGGCTGATAAAGATGGCCTTACTCTAAAAACAAGGAAAAAGCTGACTTAACAGAATGGAAGGGAGAAAAAGTCCTTGTACCCGTGCCAAAGCATCTCCAAAGATTCTCTTTGTAGTTATGCCTTTAAAAGTTTACCCCACAGAGGAGATATAACTCCTCTCTACCTTGTTGTAACTGGGATGGAGATGAGTTCCAAATATGTTTGTGTTATGCTAATTAAACCTTGCTTATTACAGTCTGGGCCTATCTGATGGTCTCTCTCTGGGGATCGTAATCTGGGCACAACAGTTCCTAGCCATCCAGATGTCAGGCTTGGGCTCCCTTTTATGGCATGTTTTTTTTAACATGGGTTTAACAAATGGGTTCAAGTTCTCTGAGCCAAACATTGAAGGTTCTGCTCAGGAAGTCCTGACAAACCCTCCCCCAAACACAGCTCACTGAATGTTTTACACCACTGATGATTCATTTCCGTGGTCAAATGGTTTCTGTTTCTCATAACTTCACCCACTGCAAAAGTTACAGTGCAATTCAGCATTTGCTCACTTGTGAAAATCCAGAAAGCCTCACAAGATTGCAGGAGGATAGCACGAACAAGAGGCAGAGCCCTTCCACCCAAACCAAGCAGCAAGAACGGGTAAGAAGGGGCACTTGATCTTGCTAGGCCTTGGGATTTCTGCTCTGGAACATGGGATCATCAGCCTGGACAGGAATGAGATATCATTTTTTTTTTTTTTAGAACTAGTATGCCTAGAAAAGTCTGCTCCTGGGCATGGCTGTGGCATAGTAGCAGATGATCCTGGGTGGATTATCAGGGCAGCCAGTCTCTAAGGGCCACCACTAAACTTATTTTGAATTAGGGACCAGATGACATGTGGCTGAAACAGGGCAGGGTATGTATTGGGATTGTTTTTCTCATTGTTCACCTGTCTCTGCTGACAGGGACACAGTTAAATACCTATGGTGAGTGATGGAGCAGAGCTGCTTCTGAAAGGGCTGCCTGTGGCTGATTTTCATGAGGGGAAACAGAATGAGATGCAGGATAAATAGCCACCGCCTTGGAGAAGGATAAAGGGAGGAAATGCTATGTTGGTGTGAGAACACAAAGGGCATAAGAGATACGGTCTGTTCTAGAGCTTACTATGAGTAATTGATGATCCCATAACACAAATCCAGCTTACCACACACACACAATGTTTCAACTTGACAAGTTTCTTGAAGTTTCTGTAGAAACAGAATAAAGAAAGTCATAGATCAAGGTACTTTTAAGATGTATTCGTAACAACATGGGCAGACAGATTATGGCAATATGGGGGAGTTTCATATAGGCCTTTTGATGCAAGAAATGGCTATGGAGGCAGCTAAAGATAGCCCAAGAAAATCTGGCTCCAGACATTACAACATTCCAGCTCTCTACAAACACACAAATTCTAATTAGTCAGCTATCTTTGTAGGGTTGTTGACCCAGTTGTGACTGTTTTCTGGGAGGGTCAGGTCACAGCTGAAATCCAAAGTGAAAGATGAAGGATAGGCAATTGCCATCACACATCTGATCTTGGATGCCAAGTGAATTTCCTCCTTGATTCAGAAGATTGGTTCATTCCTCATGTCCTTGTACTTCTTAACCCTCCCTGCAGGATCAGCCAGCTCCTAGCCTCTGATTCCCAGTGTTTTTCTTCCTTCCCTTTCCATTTCTCCTTTCTCTACCAAATTAAAAACAAAACAGAAAACCTAAGGAGAATGGCAGAAAGTTATTATTTGAACTACCAGCTCCATACCGGCTTTCTTGTTCTTTATACCACTGTTGCTTTCTGCAATAACCAGCATTTGCATAGTTGGGTTTAGTCTCATTTGCTGTGAGTCTAATCCCTGCTTTTATTCATTACTCATTCACAGCTAATAAAACTTTCATTTCAAGGCACAGTTCACACTCTTTGGAAGAGTCACTATCACATATTTCCATAAATTTTGCAAAAACCACATTATGTTGGTTCTGTTGCTGAAATGACAATGTTATTAAATCTGTGCATAGACACTCATGGCCATGACATGAGAATAACTACTAGGTTAGATAGAGTGAATACTGATGTGGGCTTCCCCTCTGTATGCTGTGAATACCATTGGTTAATAAAGAAACTGTCTTGGCCTGTGATAGGGCAAAAGAATAGAGCTAGGCAGGGAAAACTAAACTGAATTCTGGGAGAAAAAAGGTTGAGTTAGAGAGAAGCCATGTAGCCCTGCTGTAGACAGACACTGGAACTTTAGCAGGTAAGCCTCAGCCAAGTGGCGATGCACAGATTAATAGAAATGGGTTAAATTAAGATATAAGTGTTAGCCAATAAGAATATATAGCTAACTGGCCAAGCAGTGATTTAATTAATACAGTTTCTGTGTGATTATTTTGGGTCAGAGCTGCTGGGCAGCCGGGAAACAAACAAGGGGCCTCTTTCCAAGAGAATACGTTTTATAATCTCTAGAAATTCTGGGCAAAACATGGTATAAGTACTAATACATAGAATTAATACATTTTATAATATTTAGGAACTATTGTATGGGCATGCATCGAACAATGAAGCATTAATGCCATGGGTCTAGATTCATTATAATGGTAAACTAATCAATAAATGAATATTTGATTGATCATATAAGCTGCAATATAAAAAACAATTTCTTTAAATCTGATTTAATTTTCTACTGATGTTTAGTAGAAAATCTTTAATTAGGAAATTTTTCATTGAAAAAAACAGAATATTTGCATTGTGAGCAGTAGAATTCGTCACTGTCACCTTATAAATGAAATTCTTCAATAATACCTTAAACTTCTTAGGTTATACAGGTCCTCCTTCACCTATGTCTCTGATGCACACAACACTGTTGCCATTTTTGAGAGCTTCATAACTCTACCTTCAAGGAGAAAGAAAAAAATTCTAATTTATCTTACCTCTTACTCTCTAGACAGGGAACAAGACTGCATAATGGCGTCAGAGGTCCACATGTCAGGCCCTGTGTGCCTCATTAAGAATGTGAAAGGGCAACTGGTAGCCAACCAGGAGGCTCTGCAGATCCTGTCTGCCAACGAGCAGCAAGTGGTAGTGGTGGCCATCGTGGGTTTGTACCGCACAGGCAAATCCTACTTGATGAACAAGCTGGCTGGGAAGAACACAGGTGAGTGCCTCCAACACAGCTGTGCTGGGTCCATGTCCACTCATATTGTCTGCTTCCTGCAGGAGAGTGTAAAGAATTTAATTTTCCAGTCACAGTTGAATGCTGGTATCCTTTTTGTTGTCTATGTCTGTTTGCTTTTGTTTTTGAGACAACATTCTGCTATATAGCACAAGCAGGCCTTTAGCTCAGCATATAGTCCAAGCTAACCCTGAACTCATGATCTTCTTGCGTTGGCCTCCTGGGAGCTGATTACTGGACTGCACCTTACCTCTAACTCCTAGTTTCCCTTCTAAAAGTACAACTAGCTCATTTCCTAGAAGCAAAAAGGCAGTAATAAAGATAATTTAATTTATGAGTTAATAAACTTAAAGTATTACTTAAATGGTAGTGTAATAACAGCAAGTTTCTACTGATCTTTAAGGTTAAAGGCTATCTTCAAAAGGCAAGATTCTGTCCCACCTGGTCCCACAGTCATGCAGTCCCAAAGAAACACACAGTGGCTTGTAATAATTACAAACTGTTTGGCCTATTAGTTCAGGTTTATTATTAACTAGTTCTTACAACTTAAATTAACCCATAATTCTTATCTATGTTTAACCATGCAGCTTGGTACCTTTTTCCTTTCAGGCAGTCTTATCTTGCTTCCTCTGCATCTGGCTGGTGACTGTTTCTCTGGCTTTCATCTTCCCAGAGTTCTCCTACTCTGGTCACCCCACCTATGCTTCCTGCCTGGCTACTGGCCAATTAGCATTTTATTAAAACAATATGAGTGAAAATCTTTAAAGTGTACAAGGGTACAAGAGGATTGTCCTACAACATTTCCCCCTTTTTTCTTTTCCAAACAAGAACCATCAATCTAATCTCCTTTCTTTAGCTTTTTTTTCTGATAATTTTCTGTAACAACTTGTAACCAACACTCTAAACAACGACAAACATCCATAATCCATTTTGGGGCATGTGGGTGTCATTTTTCTAGACTACTTCCTCCTAATTGGAGTCACTGATGATCTTTGGGGGATCCAAAGAAAATTTGGGATTATGGCCAAATCTTTACTGAAGTATTCTGTGAGGCTGGATCACCTCAAACAGTCACCTTGAAGCTGTTCTGGATGTAGAACTCAGAGCAAACTGCAACAGATGTGCTCTGAATAAATGGATCACCTGGGCCATCTGCTACTCTTAGAGATTCTTCAGTGGGTCTTCCTAAATCAAACCTTATTTTCCTTAACTCAGAATGAATCCACAGGCTCTAATTTCCTGTGGAAACTAAAGCAAACTTCTTCTCCAAAGTAACATATCTTTTGACCTAAATTTTGAATCAATTCATTTTCAAAATATATAGGTTGGATTAATGCAGCAGCATTTATAAGCAAATATCTTTCAGCAGATGTCGCCCCTTCCTCATCAACCAAACAATTCAAGGAAAACACAATAACATACAGTATCCTGACTTTCTGTGTATTTTCCACTATTGTGTGACTGTTTTTACTATATTTATTTTATTTTTACTTTTTTTTTGAGACAGGATTTCTCTGTATATCTTTGGATGTATTGGAACTCCCTCTATTGGCCAGACCGGCCTTGATCTCACAGAGATCTTTCTGCCACTAACTCCCCAGTGCTAGATTAAAAATGTGTGCCACCACACCTGGCTATCGATTTATTTTTAAAAAGACTTTCTATATCCTTTTTTCTCTCCAAAGCCTACACATATATATTTTAAATACACTGCAAACTATTTAGAGGGTATTGTTTGGAGGGTCTGAATCTTTAATTTGCTAAGTACCATGAGTAGGATTAAAGCCACTGCTTTGGTGGCTGGATCTGTCCCACTCTTTGGCTGTCTGAGAGTCTAGCTTCATGACAGAGGTACTGTCAGGAGCCATGCTTGTTGCCACAACTCTGTGGAGTTTTCAGGCCCATGCTACCACAAAGAAGCATGCCACTGGTTGCTCTTAAACACCATTTAAGTGTTTAGTAACAGGGCCTTTAAAGGAGCAGCCATACAGTTTTTGCTGTTAACATTGAGTCAGGAAGTCTCTCTTAAAGGGTCCGTGCTTCTGCTTGCTGCCAGCAAGCAAGAGCCTACTGGAGTAAAGATGGTTACCAAGAAGTTGTGCTTGACTCTTTTCTTGTCTGTCTAGAATCATTTATTTTTGCTTTCTCAGGCTTTATGTGGAATTTCTTGTCAAACATTTGGGCACCATTTGTACATGGAAGTTTCTGTCCTGCCTGGTCTCACAGCACTTCAGTCACAAAGAAACACATAGAGGCTTATATTAATTACAAACTCTTTAGCCTATTAGTTCAGGCTTATTATTAACTAGTTGTTACAATTTAAATTAATCCATAATTCTTATCTATGTTTAGCCATACAGCTTTGGACCTTTTCTCAGTAAAACATTCTCATCTTGTTTCCTCTGCATCTGACTTGCAACTGAGTCTCAGTCTTTTCCAGAATTCTCCCAGTCTGGTTGCCCCACCTATACTTCCTACCTGGCTAATTGACATTTTATTAAACCAATATGAGTGACAAATCTTTACAGTATACAAGAGTATTATCCCACAGCACTATCTATATTATATGTACTGACTTTTTCATTATTGTAAGTTATATAAGATTCATCTTTATAATTTTTAAGTATTTACTTCTGAAGCATTAAACAAATTTGCATCTATTTTCAGCATCCTTCTTTACAAGTAGCTCATTGACCATCCTATACCATATACTACATGCTATATCTATGAATTTGACTGTCCTAGGAATGCACATTCAGAAAAAAACTGGGGGATTTTTCAACTGGTTCTTTCACGTACCATGGTACCTTTAAGATTTGTCACTGTAAGAAAAGTGTTCCAAAATCCTATTCCTTCTGGTGGTTCAGTGATTAAGTATGTTTAAAATCGCTAATCTGTTTGCCTGTAGACAAGACAGCTGGGTACTCTGAATGATGCTGATATAAAGACAGCTATTGAGACACCTGTATTAGTGCAGATTTTCAGGTTTTCTTGGTTGTATTAGTCTTATCACAGATAAAATGCCTGATGAAACAATGTAAGGAAGAAGGATTTAGTTTGCTCAGTACAGGGGATATCATTTCATCATGGCAGGGGAGACAGGACTATGTGGCGTAGTGGCATTTCAGTTGCATTTTTGTAGTAATGAGCAGCGGGCTGTGTCCCTGGCGCCCTGCTGTCCGCACAGCTAGCTTTACCAGAAATAATTACACTGAAACTGTATTCTTTTAAACACTGCTTGGCCCATTAGCTCTAGCCTCTTACTGGCTAGCTCTCACATCTAGATTAACCCATTTCTAATATTCTGTGTAGCACCACAAGCTGGCTTACCAGGAAAGATCTTAACCTGCATCTGTCTGGAGTGGGAGAATCATGGCGACTCCTGACTAGGCTTCTTTCTCCCAGCATTCTGTTCTGTCTACTCCGCCTACCTAATTTTCTGTCCTATTAAAGGGCTAAGGCAGTTTCTTTATTTAACCAATGAAATCAACACAAAACAGAAGACTCCCACATCACATTTTAATAGATAAAGCTTGACTGAAAATCTGAGAGGAAAACAGTCCCACTGGTCAGCCTTACAGACCAGGTAATGGTAACACACACCTTTAATCCCAGTAACCACATTAATTTGCCATAGAAACCTGGCAATGCATGACTTTAATCTCAGTGGTGCACGCTTTTAATCCCAGCCCTAGAGAGAATTATAAAATGAGAGGGAACAACACTCAGTCACAGTCTCATTCTGAGATTTCTGGAGCCAGAATTGCCATTTTGGACTTAGGTTGAGGTAAGAGCTATTTTGCTTTTCTGACAATATCAGTTTTCTGAGATTTTATTGATCATGCATCATTTGGCAGCCAACATGAGGCTTTAATTTTGGGAAGGGAACAAGAAAGGGAGGAGGTAAGGGGAGAGAATGACTTCTCGAGAAAGGCACAGCAGAGAAGGGGAAACATCTTACTGGGACCAAATGTCCCCAAATGGTTCCACAGAACCTGGACAGTGTTCATGCAACCAGATACTCCAGGACATGGCCAGAACCCCAGTTTTTTCAGGTCCCACTAAGATCCCAATGCCCACATGTCCGCAGTTAGCAGTCTTAAGAACCTGGTGCCCTCATTTTCCACCCCACTTGCCATCCTTATCTCAATTTTTATTATAGACAAATAAAAGGGAAGAATGAAGCAGGATTATTAAAAGCTCAGAGAAATTGGGGTTCAACCTGAAGATCTGAAAAGTAAAGCCAGTCACTGGCTCTTACCTCTACTTCAATCTAAAATGGAGATCCTGCCTCCAGGAGTCTCACAGTGGGACTGTGTTGGAGAGTTGTTTCCTCCCATTTTATAATCTTTCCTAGTTGTGGGATTAAAGGCATGCACTGCCCCGTTTCTACAGCAACTAGTGTGGCTAATAGGATTAAAGGTGTGTGTTACTACTGCCTGGCTGTAAGGTTAGCCACTGGGTCTGTTTGACTCTCCCAATCATTAGGCAAGCTTTATTCATTAAAGTACAATTGAAATGCCACTATAATGTATAGTGGTAGGAGTTTGTGCTTTGTCCATATCATGGCTGACCGGGAAGCAGAGAGCAGAGGGCCAATGTTATAACATTCGAAGGCCTGCCCTCTGGTAGCCAGGTCCTACCTCCTAATGCTTTCATATGTCCCAACACAGTGCCACTAACTGGGGACCAAGTATTCAGATGCATGGTCCTATGAAGAACATTTACATTCAAACCATATTATTTTGCCTTGGCCCCCAAAGGCAGTTAGATCAACTACAAAAGTCCACACAATCTTATACTTCTAACAGCATATGAAAGTCTAGCAGCTCATCTGAGACTCAAAGCAACCTGTAATATACAGAATAAGCATCCCCATTTCCAGTGTTCAGGGGAACAGGAAGGACAGAATACATCATAGCAAGACTGAACCCAGAAGGGCAAACACCTAACCCTGTCTTTCCATATGCAGCATATAGGGCATATGGTGGCCTTTTCTAGAGAACATCAGCTTGCAGACCCTGGCTCTAGGGTCCTGCTATTTATAGGATACAAAGGTTTTATCTAGCTAGGTCCACTCATTGACTCCAGCTTTCCTCAGTAAACATCCCACATTCCTGGCATCTCAAACTTCCTGGGGTCTCCATTGTTACCTCAGCTTTACCCCCACCACTTCACACATAGCACTGCATGAGAGTGTCTGACCCTGCTACATGTTTTCTGTGGAACATTAGTGAATGTTTGGAGGTCTTGTGACTTGCATTATGCATATCTGAAAACTTATTTCTGTTACATCTCTAACTATGAGATCAGCCCTAGCTTTGGCTTCAGCTAATTCTCCTGACTTGATTGAGCTGATTTTTCAAAAGATATTTATTTCAATTTTATGGCTATGAGTATTTTGTCTGAGTGTCATGTACATGCCTGGTATTCACAGATGTTATAAGGGACATAAACTCCCTGAAACTGGAGTTATAGACAGGTTTGAGCTGTTGTGTAGACTCTGAGAACCAAACTGTTGTCCTCTGCAAGAACAGTAGGCACACTTAATCAATAAGTTATGTTTTTCTTTGATTATGCTAATTTTGTAATCACTTCCAGGAAGCCCTTTTTCCTACACATCTAATCTCTTTTCCTCTCTGCTTTCCAGGCTTCTCTCTGGGCTCCACAGTGCAGTCTCACACCAAGGGGATCTGGATGTGGTGTGTGCCTCATCCCCAGAAGGCAGACACCACCTTAGTTCTGCTTGACACAGAGGGCTTGGGTGATGTTGAAAAAGTAAGAATTGGGGGCACAGACTGCAATTCATCCCCTAATTTCTGAATATTCTTCATTGTTCTCTATGTTGCCTTAAAAGTGGTATGTATGCATGTATGTATGTATTGTGTATGAGCATGTGCCTGTGTGTATGTTACATACTCCCCAGTATATGTTCTACGTGACATATGTGTAGATTAGAGTAAAACGTGGGGTCAGTTCTCTTTTCCACCATGTGACTTCTAGAGATTGAACCCAGGCTCTAAGGTTGGGCAGTAAGCCTTTTTACCCACCAAGCCTTCTCATTGGAACTGTGATTTTAAAATAAGAGTTTAAACTAAATAATAGCATACTTTTCACATTTATTACATAACATGTGCTATGTTTAACCAAAAAATAAGGGTACTTGCCCCAAGACTGAGTCATAGACCAGCAGGATGGTAGTCTGCAGTACTGAAACACTATCAGAATAAGCAGCACCAGTGAGAATCATCACAAGTACAATTGCAAACCAAAAGAGCGTTCACTCTGCAGGTGCTGTGGATGGCATCTGTTAGTTAATTGCTGTTTCTTTTGTTTAGTTTTGCACCTTGTATAGGTCACAAAGGTGTTTTGTTTCCTAGGTTAAAAATCCCCTCTGAGTATGCTTTACCACTTCTGATCTGGAAAGTGACATAAGAACAAAACATAATCCTTGCCCATATGTGTTCGTACTTCCAGGGTGACAACCAGAGCGACTGCTGGATCTTTGCCCTGGCTATACTTCTCAGTAGCACCTTTGTGTACAACAGCATGAGAGCCATCGACCAGCAGGCCATCGACCAGCTGCAGTATCCTTTCTGAGGGCCAGAACAGCACCAGAACACGTGGAGTGGCCTAGCCTCCTAAACCAGCTCCATGACTCTGACTGTTGGTTAATGAACTCTAAAACAAACAAACAAAAAACCTCACATATATGTAGCTACAGCGTCCACATTGATGTTAGGAACAAGGCAAATGAAGGTTTGGTGCTAGGGTCACCTGGAGCTGTGGTTGGTGCTCTGGTTGTTTCCGGGGTTTTCCTTAATTATCTGTTCAGCTATGTGACAGAGCTGACAGACAGAATCAGAACAAGATCCTCATCTGGCCAGGATGAGGTGGATGCCTCAGATGAGTTTGTGAGCTTCTTCCCGGATTTCGTGTGGGCTGTGAGGGACTTCTCTCTTGAGCTGAAATTAAATGAAAAACCCATCTCTGCAGATGAATACCTAGAGAATAGCCTGGAAGTTAAAGATGGTAAGAGACTTTCAACTGCTGAATGAGAATGCTAATTAAACCCCTGATAATTCAGATGTTTCTATCTATAATTTGCTTACACCTGCAGCTTCTATTTCTCCTAACTAGTACTCCTAAAGATTAGCACTTAATACATGATTTAATATATTGACTTCAATATTTTCTTTCTTGTACAAAAAATTTGTCTTGCACCTTTGCCTCTATAGTGATTAATTTGATTTCTTGCCTTCTGAGTTGATTTTATATTGAAGCAGAGAATATGGTACATATGAAGACATATTAGAGAAAGGTGGGGCAAGTGTTACCAATATCCTAGTCCAACAGTTGGTACAGTGTGGCCCCACACAGCTGGTGTTCTTACAGGAGTCTTTAGAAATGAAATGATGCTGTACTTGAGGGTTTACATATTGTCAAATTACACAGTATATCTACAGTAAGTAAAGTGAATATTTAGGATGAAGCCCATTTCCCTGAGACGTCTAACAGAGCATTCAGCCTTTCCTAGACTGAAAATCTTTAAAGCAAATATCACCCCTACTTTTCTGGGTTTTTTATTTGTGTTTTCAGGGTCTCACCTTCTGACTCAGGTTGGCCTAACTTAAAATCCTCCTTCCTGAGCTTCTAGCAAGCTAGGATTACAAAACCTCACATGATCAAATTTTAAAATGTATGCTCACTTTGCATGTGATGGCTGAAAATTCTGTTTTTGCTCTATCTAGGTACTGGCCAAAGAGATAAAGAAAAAGAATTAAATATGCCTAGGCTCTGTATCCACAAGTTCTTCCCAAAGAAGAAATGCTTTGTCTTTGAGAGGCCAGCACACGGGAAAAAGCTTGGCCAGCTGCAATCACTACAGGATCATGACCTGGACTCTGATTTTGTGGAACAGCTGGCAGATTTCTGTTCCTACGTGTTCAGCTGTTCCAAGGTTAAAAGGCTTCCAGGAGGCATCAAGGTCAATGGACCACGTGAGTCCCTTCCCAGTCTTTTCGCTAACTGTTTAGGCCAGAGCATCATGTGATAGCAATGACCAACTTCAGCCTTGAAGAAATGTAGACCCATACCACTGTAGTGTGAAGCTGTAGATGGTTCCACAATTTATAATATTTATAATGTATTTTGTCTATCACTTTTTTTTGGATAAAGAGAAAAGAGACAAAAACAACACCTTTTAAATTACTCTAGAAAACTGTACCTGCAATCACTAGACAGCAAATAAACAAGTATGACCTTTAAATTTTGATGTGAGTTCAATAAAATCCACACAGAACATGTCATTATCACATTAGCACATACAAAAAGTTTTCTTGGGCAAAGCAAACTATTCTAATCAACCTGATGGGGAATTTCTGACTGAGTGTGTGTTTTATTACAAAAGTGGAGTGAAATGCTTACTGTGGACAGGGATGGTGACAGACAAAAATGGGGGAGGTGTGGAGCCCATTCTCATGACACAAACATTCCATAGACACGGGTCCATGCAATCTCCATCCAGTCTTCTTAGCCTTTGGGGTCTCACACATCTCAGGAGAGGATCTTGCGTAAGAGGAAGGTCTAATTTTTTTCAAAGTGAGGTAGAGGCTGAGATGTTTCTGTCTGTCATTCCTCCAATTGATACTGACAACACTGATACTTTAAGGCACCAATGATTGTCATATCCAGAATTACACAGAGTAGTGTTTCCCTCGTCCATCTCTAGCAAATATTGTCACCTGTTTCCTGGTTGTAGGACTAGAGAGCTTGGTGACAACCTATATCAACACCATCAACAGTGGAGGTTTGCCTTGCCTGGAGAATGCTGTTCTGGCTTTGGTCCAGACAGAGAATGAAGCTGCAGTGCAAAAGGCCATTGCCTACTATGACCAGCAAATGAATGAGAAGTTGCAGCTGCCCACAGAGACCCTCCAGGAGCTGCTGGGCCTGCACAGGGCCAGTGAGAAAGAAGCCATCAAGATCTTCATGGAGAATTCCGTCAAAGACATTAATCAAGTGTTCCTAATGAAAGTAATGGTAATATTTCTCTTAAGTTTACCTGGAAGTAGATTTTGAAAGGCAACTTGCTGTGGGGAAACGAAAGCAGTGTTTGAGGCAGGCAGCTGCTATTAAATTTTAAAGAAGTAAGAGCTACTTTTCAGTAATCATGCCAAATATGACAAAATGGATTATCATAGACTCAAAACTTAAAATATCTGTCCTTTCAATATAAGCTAGTAGCATCTCTCCTTTACTAAGTACAGAGAAGTAATTAGTGTGTCTGATCAAGCTGCATGCTCAGTGCCCGTAGACTGATTCAATGCTCAATCCAGTGGCAAAGAAATTTTTTTTTTTATTTCATGGGGCATCTCTGGTCCAGTATGGAGAAAACAGTTTACCTCTAAAAGTGTAAATCTCTGCTTTGAACTTCACTGCCAAGAAGCAAGGGAGACATCAGTAAAGGCTGGCATCAGAGGAAGGATGTGGTTATAGTCAGTGCTTATAAGTTTTCCTTCAGTTGTTTGGGGTTTTGTGTTGGTTGTCGTCAGGCTTCTTACCCTTCTTAATGTTTTTCTTTTCATTTTTACATCAAAGACCAGATTAGAAGCAAAGCTAGAAGAATTCTTTAAGAAGAATGCACAGGTGTCCTCAGACCACTGCTCGGCTCTGCTTCAGGGTATTTTCAGTCCTCTAGAAGAAGACTTGAAGCACGGGATTTATTTTAAACCAGGGGGATACTTTATTTTTATGTGGAAGATACGGGAGTTGAAGAAAAAGTACTATGAGGAACCTAGGAAGGGGGTTCAGGTAAACAAGGTTACATGTGTTCTAGGAAGCTTCTGACCTTCTTCACAGTACAGTATGACCCTAAGCATCTCTGTGAGAGGATATTACTGTCTGTATTCCAGGCATTTGCTCCTTCAACATCACATACGTGAAGGCTGTCACACTTGATGTGTCCTGCTTACTCATCAGAGACAGTGCAATCACTCAACACTTGAGTTCACACTGGACAATCACATTAACCACCAATGTGACTGTGTTTAAGCTGGACTCTTTGTGTTGAAAGGACCCAAGATAGCCCCTTTAATTCCGAAGTTAGGCTAGGCATCACTATAGTAAAGGGAGGATATGAAGATAGGCACAAAAGCTTTCATTCATTCCTGCTGTTAACTTCATGTTTTCTGAACTTGAAGGCTGAAGAAGTTCTGCAGAAATTTTTGCAGTCAAAGGAAGAAGTGAGTGATGCAGTTCTACAGACAGACCAGACTCTGACAAAAAAGGAAAAGGAGACTGAAGGTAAGGCACAACTTAATGGACTACATGCCCTCAAAAGCTGTGGAATGTTTAGATTATTTTTAAAACCGGGACCTCCAAGAAAACTTAAAGGACAAAGCTGTGTCTCGATGGCTAGTATCAGACATGGTAGTACTATGACGTCAGCAGTAACAATGGAGCAGGTGAGGAAGAGAGCATCACATGCTGCATTTACATATTCCTTCTTGATTGCCTTCCCAGTGGAGCGTGTGAGAGCTGAAGCCACCTGGGCTATAGCAAGAATGCAGGAGGAAATGCAACAGGAGACTAAGCAGTTGCTGCAACAGAAAAAGAGTCACGAGAAACATATAAAAGTGTTGACTGAGAAGATGGAGGAGGCCCAGGCCCAGTTGAGGGAGGAGCAGAGAGCATGTCAGAAGATATCTTGGGTATTTAAATTTTACCAACTTCAATGTTCTCTTCATTTAGAAAATATTTTAAAATGTGTGTGTATGTAGGTAGGTATGTATGTATAAATTTGCACATGTGCATGTAGTTAGTAGCTGTAAAGTCCCAAAGGGGGAGTCAGATTCCCTGGACCTGGAGATATATGTGTTTATGAGGCACCTAACTTCAATGTTTGGAACTGATTTCCAGTCTGTACTACACTCTGCCACTGAGCCATCTAAGTTTCCTGTTCTCTCCATTTCTGTTCATCAAGAAATATAATGAAGCCTAAAGGCTGACCAAGCCTGATCCCATCTGCTGTTAATTCCTAAATATCTGCTTGATAGTCTGTAGCCCATATCTGGTAATTAAGTGATCGATGACTAATGACATCACACTAAGTCATTTAGTAATATATATGCTATATTTTCTCAGCTATGTTCTTTGTTTTATATTTTTATTTATTTCTTAAGACTTAATGAACCAAGAACTATATTCCTATTACATAGACGAAAGAAACACAGGTTCACTTAAAATTAAATATACTATCTTAGTACTTAGGAAGTAGAGACAGAAGGATCAAAAAGTCAAATCATCCTCAGCTCTATAGGGATTCAAAATCCACTAGGACAATAGCTCCTGTCACAAAAATATCACTATATATGAACACATACAATAGATTAAGCTGTTTTTTCCCATAGTGGTATCCACAACGGTAGTTTTCTGTCTCACCTGGTATGAGTTTGTTCTTAAGAGAGTGCTTATGAGGAGAGGAACTATTTTACTCTCCAACTATGTAACAGTCTATCTGTCACTCTGTTTTCCTATACTCTGCTTTCAATTTGTGTTCAGTTGGGAGTTAGATGAGGAAATTCATTATCTTCAGTCTGGGGCTCTCATTTTCTTACCTGTCATCTGTCACCCTGCTACCAAGTCTTAGAAGCTTACACTAAATTTCTCCTTCCCACCCCTTCTCTTCTCTCTCTCTTCTCTCTCTCTCTCTCTCTCTCTCTCTCTCTCTCTCTCTCTCTCTCTCTATACACCTGTGTGTATATGTCAGTGCTTGTTCATCTATGCACATGGATGTGAAGGCCAGAGATTTACTTTCAATTTCCTCCATCACCCTCCGCAGTATTTTAGACAGGGTTTCTTACTGAACCTCAAGATCACTGATAAAGCTACTGGCATCGTTAGCTACTGGCTGCTGAGTTTTAAGGATCTGCCAATATCTGCCTTACAGGTCTGGTATTGCAAAAGAGTGGGGTATCTAGTTCTTACCTTGGATTCTAGCAGGCATGTTTCTGATTCAGCCATATCCTTACCTTCTACTCCTGGTTAAATTTCTTAGATTAAGATGCAGGGCCTTAGTTAGATATTCAGAATTCATTTCTGTACTTCATGTTTACCTAAGGGGTGAGTATGGGTATGCATTAAGTCTAATGATGCAATTTGAAGACAAACTCATGATTAAGATTACCTACAGAGGTTATAAACAACTGATGAGGGAAAAAAAATCAATGCTGGTAGCTTAGGTTCATCAATAGAACTATTTCTTAGTTAAAGGAGTCCTAAGAAAAGTGACTACAGCTACCCAAGAAAAAGATTAATTTGAGAAGGAGGCTAAAAATTCCAAAAAGGAAAAGCAAAAGCAAACCTCTGAACATTTAAATTTACTCACAAATAATAAAAGATTATAATTCAAGAAAAAATAAGTTTGAGAAAAAATTAAGAAATTAATAATAAAAATTATGATGAAAACTGCATAGAACATAAGGATCAACCCAGTACAATATTCATTGTCTCTGTCACTTTTTAGGAATATGCAGAACTACAGGAGGAGAATAAAAGAAGGAGAAAGTTTTTGGGATGTTTGTTATGCTAAAGGCCTAAAGAGTAATGCTATCCTGCCATTCAAAGCAGAACTGAAAAGGGTGTAGAATTTGGAACAAGAGTGACTCTACATGGAACACAAATTAAAAATATGCAAAGATGTTCAGTGCAATCATTGAAATCATGTTCATCTTCATATAAGATTGGGTACCAAAGATGTCATTGATGTCTTTATCACAAAATAGGTACCAACAACACCACTTAAAAGAGAGGCCCCTGTCCAGATGATCTCAAGACACTTATTATATTATTAAGTATTGGTTCATAATTAGGAATCCAGTTGTCCAAGGTTGTGATAGGTCTAAAGGACAGGGATAACCAACCTTATTTTCCACAATGTAAAGTTTTCCATTGTATGAAATATCAAAATACTCAACCTTTCAGCAGTGGAATTATTTGTGGACACTGATGATGGATAACCCTATGAACACACTCCATTATAAATCAAGACACCTGCCTGGAGATGAGATATCCAAAGGAAGATGGAAGAATCCATAACCATGACAAGAAGCTGTTTTACAGGTCCATGGGCCAATGAAGGGAATGTTTCAGTACATGGAGACTGAAATTGTTACATTACTTTTCTAAGCTTTAATATTTAAAACTGATTGCATGCTAACATGATGTCAACAAAGCATAATGTAGACCTTAAGGATGACTTTAAATGATGATGGGTAATCTACAGTATCAAAGGTATTTTAATAGTTTATCTGTAACCATAAACTTACTCTACTCTTTTCCATTTTTTAGCAGTTATACCTGAAATCCTTTTGATTTTTCCACAAGCAGAATAAAGATTATTTTCCCATATTTTCGACCAACTCTTAGTATTAAGGCATATATATAAAATATATTCCAACTACCAGAAGTGCAAAGTAAGTGGTTAACAGTTTTTAAAAGGATCAAGAACTGTTGGGGGCTGTGACTCAGTGAATAAAATACTTGCTGTGCAAACATGAGCACAAAAATTCAGACCTTTTCTCCCATGTGTAACAAACCAGACATGGTGGCACACACCTGGAAGCCGAGCACTGAAGTTGGGGAAAGGCAGACAGAATGATCCTTGGGTTCTACTAGTCAGCCAGCCTAGTCAACAAATGGGCTCTGGGTTTACTGAGAGACCCCATTTCAAAAATAATAGGGAGAGCAACTGAGAACAGAGTCAGCACACTTTGCCTGCAGGACCATGAGAAATCAAGCTGGAATGCAACTAGACTCTCTTTTGCTGAATGGTTCTCATGGAAGCAAAAAGAAGTATGCAGGTTGCTGAGGAGAGCTGTCACCAACAGCCCTGCTGAGGTATGAGACTTCCCTCCTCCAGCTTCCAACATGCTAGGCAGGATGTGATCTCTGGAGTGGCTCACTGATTGTGAGTGCCTTCTGATTAGATCTAAGGCCAACTCCACCTGAATGCAAATCTGATACTGAAAGCCAGGGCAAAGACCATGACTAAAGGGAGTTGGGTCATGGGCCCTACTGGGGAAGCCACATATATTGATTTTTTAGGTGCATGTGATGTCCCTGAAAAAAATTTCCTTCTGAACATTTGTTGGTGTCATTATGGGCACAAGACTGAAAGTGAAAGCAGACAGGCTCAGCTCCTCAGAAACAGCCTGGATGTCAAGAAACCACATGACTTCTTGAATGGGTTACAGTCTGATTTGTGCAGTGTGTTATACATTAGGCTGCTGAAAGGTTTCTCCAAGTCCTGAGATTATGAATATCAGGTGTGGGATGTTTTATGCTAAACTGCATTTTACAAAATGAACTCAGTAGCAAGATCCACTGCACAGCAACAGAAATCAGAGTTCCCAGTAGAACAGAGGCAGGACCTTCAAGTTAGGAAAACAATGGATGCAATGTATGTAGGTGTTTTCTGAGAATAGATGCTGTGCGCACAGCACTGTCGGCAATGTGCAGGGCAGCAAGAAGACTCATTAGATCCAGTCTCTGCCCTAACAAGGTTTAATGCAATGGGTAAAATGGGCTCTTCAGAGGGTGGAAGAATAGAGGAAAGCAAAAAACCTAGACACTAGATAACTGATCAGCCTAAGATCACCAAGTAGAATATTTCAATCTCTTTTTTATTAAAACAATTGTTTTTTATTTTATATGCCAATCCCAGTTCCCCTCCCTTCCCTCATCCTGCCCTCCCAACCTTTCTTCCACACCATCACCCATCAGCTCCTCAGGGAAGTGAGACGGTAAGGCCTCAACATAGGGAGTCAATAAAGTCTGGCACATCATTTGAGGCAGGACCAATGCCCTCCCTGCTGTATCTAGACTGAGAAACGTATCCCACACCCCATAGAGAATGGGCTCCAAAAAGTCAGTTCATGCACTAGAGATAAATTCTGGTCCCATTGCCAGTGCCCCCACAAACTGCCAAAGCCACACAACTGTCACCCACATTCATAGGACCTAGTTTGCGCCTATGCAGGTTCCTCAGCTGTCAGTCTGGAGTCAGTGAGCTCTAACTAGCTCAGGTCAGCTGATGCTGTGGGCATCCCCATTATGGTCTTGACCACTTTGCCCATATCATTGCACTCCTCCCTCTCTTCAACTGGATTCCTGGAACTCTGTATAGTGCTAGCTGTGAATCTCTGCACCTGTTTCAATCAGATGAAAGTTCTCTGATGACAGTTAAGGTAGTCATTTATCTTATTACGGGGGAATGAAGATGGAAGTTACAAAATAATTCCACATGAGCTCAGAATTACATATAATAAAGGGTTATTTATTTAGGGGAAGAATCACAGATCACAGACCTCTGCACAAATGAGGGAAAAAAACCAAATCCAGAAGCCAGGAGAGAGAGCATGAGCATGCACTTTATATCAGCATTTATAGTATAAGAGGCCATGCCCACATGGGCTGGTATCTTAAAGGCTATTGGCTGAAGAAATTTGACAACACCTCCCCCTTTTGTTTAAATAAAAGAGTTCTAAGCCTAATATAAAATTACATATAATAAGAATGAATATCAAGTATAAAAATTAGAATTACAATCAGCATAAACAATCATAAACAATATTAAGCAAGGAACATGCTAAATGTTTCAATAATCATTCTTATCTAAGGAGTCTAAGTCTTGTATTAGAAAGGGCATGACTTAATCATAAGAGGAAAGTAACTATGACTATCTAATCTTCAACCCCCATCGAAGGCCTCTTAGGGCAATAATATCACTTGAGCAAGCAGGAAATACCATCAAGCAGCTTCCAAAATGTGCAACAGATAACAGAGACAAGTGGCTACCTGGGTAATCACCTGAAGTCTCATTTGCAATATTGAAGCAACCAACTTTGGCTAAGGCCTAGAGTAACTAACAGATAATTTTTAGAGACAGTAAAAATTTCAGAACCATCTTACCTTGTCTTGGCAAGGTTTAGCAGAAGTTTTTCCACTATTCTGCTTGTCCTGTCCAGACATTGTGCATTTTATCAGTAGTTAAGGCATGGGCAATTCTTTGCCCAAAGACCAGTTTTGCCACAAAGAAAACAAACTCCAAGTGGAGTGTCTTTGTTGCTCAACATTCTCTCAGAAATAGACCAGTGCTGCCAGTAGCAATTGTGTCTCACATCAACAGAACCCGAAGTTATTTAAATGCCATGTCCTACAGTTCTTTGAATTGGTTGAAGGTTACCTATATATGCAGAATACAATCTCTGTGTATCTAAAGAACCTGATTAGTCTACCTATAAGTACAACAAACATGAATGACTATTGGCCAATAATACTTAATACCTGTATAACTTAACAATATTTTAAAAAAAAACTGTGCAGTCAAATGCTCTACCTGAAATGACCCTATCCTATAGCAATACTGACGAATATCTTGCATATCATCATAGAACCTTCATCTGGTGATGGATGGAGATAGAGACAGAGACCCACACTGGAGCACTGGACTGAGCTCCCAAAGTCACAATGAGGAGCAGAAGGGGGGAGAACATGAGCAAAGAAGTCGGGACCACGAGGGGTGCACCCACCCATTGAGACAGTGGAGCTGATCTACTGGGAGCTCACCAAGGCCAGCTGGACTGTGACTGAAAAAGCATGGGATAAAACTGGACTCTCTGAACATGGTGAACAATGAGGGCTGATGAGAAGCCAAGGACAATGGCACGGGGCTTTGATCCTACTTAATGTGCTGGCTTTGTGGGAGCCTAGCCAGTTTGGATGTTCACCTTCCTAGATATGGACGGAGAGGGGAGGACCTAGGACTTACCACAGGGCAGGGAACCCTGACTGCTCTTTGGACTGGAGAGGGAGGGGGAGAGGAGTGAGAGGAGGGGGAGAAGGATGGGAGGAGGGGAGAAGGGTGGGAGGAGGGGGAGGGAAATGGGAGGCTGGGAGGAGGTGGAAACTTGTTTTTTTTTCTTCCTTTTCTCAATAAAAAAAATAAATAAAAAAAACTGTGCAGCAATTAAGGACAATGACCTCAAAATGCAAACAATGTACAAGTATCTTGATCAGAGGTAGAAGTGTGTAACACAATATTATAAATATATCCTAAAATTGTTTCAATATAGAAAATGTCTTAAACAGAGGTAGAAGCATGCATGCATACAATCTGACAAAATAACTTTGCATAGGTGTACAAATATTGTCAACAGAAATAGAAACATATTTAATATAACAAATATAATTTGAACTTGTATTCAATATACAAGAATCTATACCAATGTAAATTGCCTATAAATAATAGCTCACAAGTATTCACTCTATTACTCATTATTATTATTAGTGTGATAAGCTTACACTAATCTACCTATTATCCCATCCAATTTCCCTTATTTTTTCAAAGATATTCCTAAGCTTAGATAATTTTCACCCCACCAACCACCACTACATAATTTCCACCCCAACCCCCAACCCCAGGCAGTTATAATCAAACCTGAATTCATGTCCTTAACTCTAAGGACAAATTGTGTTGGGAGTGGGGACATTGTTTTCTAGAATTATTTCCAGCTGTCATGGGAGTGATGTTCTTTCTCTGGAATTCAGTAAAAGTAAAATGATAATTGTTTCAAGATTACTGTCTGGTATAATTGTCAATAGTTTCTGAAGAGTGGATACAGTTTTTCTGAGGTTCTTTTTAGGAGTTCTGGCCAGAATGTTGTAAGAAGGTGGACCATTTCAGCTAACCAAGTTAGAACCATCTTGAGCAGCTGGTAACCAAAACCATTATTAAAGTAGGGCTATATGCATTATGACATCATATCAACCAGGTGGAATCATTGTTGTATGGCCCTATCTTCTTCTTGGAAACTTCAAAGATTACTGCAATAAAATTTATTGTTCTTTGTGGAAAACTTAAACATTATTCATATATTCATATATATTCATACATATATTCAATGAAAGATATGCTATAGACAAAATAGATATGGAGAAAAGTAAAATTTTTCTTCTTTCTGTCCCATATCAGATGTCTCCTGACATGAGACAGAAATTCTGAATTTTTCTTTAGCAACATACTTAGATTTTGACAAGGATAGCCATTGTCCAACACGAAAGACAGCCTTGATTTTTAAGTGAGTTTTTATTTCTACTGGGTTTTAGATATTTATGTATATATACAGAAAATATATGTTTAAAATTTTACACTGCAGATGACCTGTCCTCATAAGTCATATTCCTCTGTGTTCAGTGATCCTTTCTGGAAGGTTACTTTTTTTTCTCTTTAGGCATACAAACATCCAGGGTCTCTTGACTTTCTGAAGATGTGTATTTTCCTTCAAAGACAAAAACAGAACCCTGACCCAACATTTATGAGGTTCCCTTACCACCCATATGATTGTCACCTCTGTAGAGGAGCTGACATTTCTCTGTCTCAAGAGGTTTTTCCTTTTCAAATAAAATCTTTTTTAATTTTGATGGTATCCATAGCTTTTCTTCTCCCGTAGAAACAAGAATAAACCACCCTCCACAATATAGTACATCTCCTGGTTTCCATTCTGAGGTCAACACATCTTTGAAATACACTGGCTAATTTAATTCAGAAGTCTTTTCTATTATCCAGTGTTTATCTGCTGCCATTGTTCTCTTATCACTGGCATTTAGAAAATTCAAGGTTAATAAAGAATTATGTAATCTATTTCTGGGGATATTTTCATTCCCTTTTTGTTTGTTTAACATGTCCTTTATAGTTTGGTTTGATCTTTCTATGACTGCCTGACCTGTAGGATTGTTTGGAATACCTGTAATATGCTTTATATTATAATAAGCAAAAAACTGTTACATTTTCTTAAACACATATGCTAGACAATTATCTGTCATTATTTGTACAGGTATACCCATGATGGCCATAACTGCTAATAAATGTGTGATTACTGAATCAGCATTTGATTATAGAAAGAACAAGTAAGACATCTCTTTAAAATCTCCTTAGCTTGTTGCCATGTGATAGAAAACTTTCTTGAAAGCTTTGCTATTGACATGATGTTTTTTTATGAAATTCTGAGTTCTTCAGCAGACTTCCAATCAATAATCGATCAATTTCTGCATTACCTGGTGCTAGAGGACTTGACAGACCCATATAGGATCAGATGTGTGTCCTGTATATGAGACAAAGCCTATTCCTGATTATATCTTGAACTTGAATGAATAATGAAATCAATTCTGTATCATATGGTATAAATTAAGCAGTTTCAATATGCAAGACAACTCTTTCTGCATATTGCAAATCAGTAACAATATTGAGAGGTTCTTTAAAATCCCTTAGTACCATGAAAATAGCATATAACTCTGCCTTTTGGACAGAATTATAAGGGCTTTGCCTTACCTTACTTAAACCTTTTGTTTTGTAACCTGCCTTTCCTGATTTATTTGCATTGGAACAGAATGTATGGACTCCAATTTTTGGTGCATCATGTATAATTCAGGGAACAATCCAAATACTTCTCCTTATAAGATTAGTTCTATTGCTTTTAGGATAGTTTCTAATAATTGCTCCTAAAAAATCAGCACAAGCTCTTTGCCATGGTTCACTGTTTTCCAATAATTTTTTAAAATTTTATCAGTAGTAAAAGGTACTATAATCTCTGCTGGGTGGACAAAGTCTCATTTTTTTCTTTTATAATTAATTAAGAGACTTTTTCCACATAAGTTTTTAATGTTTTACTTGGTCTATGTGGTAAAAAGATCCATTCTAGGATAACATCTTCCCTTTGTGTTAAAATTCCTTTATGGGAAATTCTGGAAGGCAAAACGACTAGAATGTAACTAAGACATGGATTCACTTGATCCACATGTGCCTCCTGCAATTTCCCTTCCACTACCAAGACATGGATTCACTTGATCCACATGTGCCTCCTGCAATTTCCCTTCCACTACTGTTATTTCTTTCTCAGCTTCAGCTGCTAATTGCCTGAGACTGTTTAATTCTTTGTCATCATCTAAGGTTTTATTTAAATGAATTATCAGATCAGGCATTATCCCAAGTGATGTGGGAAGGTCATCCGTCTATCTGTTGCTTTCATTGGTTAATTAATAAAGAAATTGTTTGGCCTGATAGGTCAGAATATAGGTGGGTGGAGTAGACAGAACAGAATGCTGGGACGAAGGGAAGTGAGGGCAGACACGATGGAGCCAGCCGCCAGGTCAGACATGCTGAATCTTTCCTGGTAAGCCACCACTTTGTGGTGCTACAAGATTATTAGAAATGGGCTAAGCAATATGTAATAATTAGCCAATAAGAGGCTTAAACTAATGGGGCAGGCAGTGTTTAAGTGAATACAATTTCTGTGTTGTTATTTTGGGTGTAAAGCTAGCTGTGTGGGAGCCAGGCAGGACGAAAAGCAAGCCTGCTCGCCTCCTCACTACACCCAAGAGCTGATTGTGTACTGGAAATGACAGAAAGGTAGACTGGGGCCATATGTGGCAAATATCACAGTTGTGACCTGCTGCAGTAATGGAATACCCAGAAAAACATTCCTGCAGTCCCAGAAACTCATGTTTCTAGGAAGGATATTATAACTAAGGAAAACTATAATTAGAACTACCTATTCTTCAGCTCCATCAAAGACTTCAGAAGACTATAATATTACCTAAGTAAATAAGAAGTACATTGTAAGCAACTTCCAAAACTCTAGGATTAATAGAGACATCTCACTGCCTGGACAGTCATGCTAAGTTCTTTTGTATAATTGGGGCATCCAATCTTCAACCCACAGGCCCATAGTGTTCAGTAGACTTTCCCATGAAGCAGGAATTTCAAGGACAGTTCCACCTATATTGACAGTTTGTCAGTTACTTTCTTCTGTGTCCTGCAGAATGTCTGGCAGACACTTTCATAAAACAGAAACTCTTAAGGACTGTCTCGCTTTCTTTAAGAAACTTCAGCAAATATTTTTCTATGTGTTCTGCATGTTCAGTCAAGCAGTCTAGGAAAGATCAGTTTATTGCCAAAGTGGTTAATAAACTCGATGAGGAGCCTCTTCAATGCCCATTATCCTCCTGAAATAGATTGGTGCTGCCAGGAGCACATGTCTCATTGTTATAAAACGTCTCAAGTTCTTAAAACATTTTAAATGCCCTATTCTGTTAGTCTTTGAAAGGCTTGAAGAATACCTGTTGATCTGAAATATATCTCTGTAAACCTAGAAAACCTAACATGACTAAAAACTTGATTACTATAAATGACTATCTATTAATCTATATTTCTTAATTATACATTAAATCTTTAAATAAGCTGCCGAAGTACAATGCCATAATCAAGAACAGAAATATACATATAACAAAATTGACCTTAAATTTGTATCAAGATCCATACCAATACATCTCTATAGCGTTTCCCCCTTTCAATGTAAACAAACATTTACAAACAATATTTTGGAATTTGGGCATAGTTCTTTTTAAACTGCTTCCTGCTGTACAAATTAATTTTTAT